ACATGACTTCAGAGGAGATCTCACAAGAGCTGTGCTAAAATTATTTCGTTCTAAGAGGCCAAATTATTTGGTGAATCAACTCTGAGTCGTGTTCAGGGAATCTTCACAGCCTCTCGATCAGATCACGGTCTTGGAGAACCCCTCCCCGTGATCCTCCATGTACCGCGCACTGGAAACACAGGCTCTGGTTCCAAAGGAAGTCACTATGAAAGACCTACTGGTTTCAAAGAATGTCCTTCGGTTCCAAAGCCTTTTTGTTTTTTTTTGGATGACCACGTTCGATACCACTGAAAGACCGCGTTTCGAATGTGCAGTGGCATGTCTCTTGCCTGGCCGCCTGGGTTCCGGTGACAGGCAACGAAGCGAGGACCACCTGCAACATCCAGCAGAAGGCTCTTCAGTTGGATGGAGAGTCCCGGATGGCCACTAAAGGAGTCCCCGAGCCTACCCACTGTCTTCCTGAGTGAGAACAATGGTGATGACAGGTCCCAGTGATTGCTTCTAGGATGAGTATAGAACTGGATGGGACTCCTTTAGTCGGAAAAGGTCTATCTTTGGCAAGAGAGTGCAACAAATTCCCTTCTTCAGGTTTACAAATCTGTGTTCTTCTAGTACCGAGTGGTTTCAAAGGAACTACGCCTGCTCCATGTGGCACTGGAAAGAGACACCCAGTTGGTCCCCCATCCCAGAGAAAGATTGGGCGGATTTATGAAGAAGGGACGAAGGTGGGAAGCATCGAAGGCAGCGGAACGTAAATGCTCTTCGGGCTTAAATTGCACAGCCTAGCAGCCTAGCAAAGGGACAACTCAACCATCAATCATAGATAACCAGTGACCATCATAAATTAGCTCAGAGGCCTTAGGTTGTAGCCGTTATAGCCCTACCTTGCAATTACATAATGACTTGGCAAAAAGCCTTCACTTGACATCCTTGGGAAAGTATGTTGTTCTTGGAAGGGCTCCTTGGCGACATATCGCCCAGGTGTAAGGCACGACCAAAGAGGCAGCCTGGTTGCGGACTCGCTTCTATATACGTGACCTATCCCAAATTCACTAATAAAAGGCAATTTTGATTGGCCGAATAAACTCACCCGAAACCCCCCAACAATAGTCAAAGGCTCTTCTTCCACCCTCAACCCTCCGCTCATCCATTCTTGGAAAATACACCCCCCCGAGGCTCCTGACTTGCTGCAAATCGCTGCTTTCGGGACGCCAGAAGTGCCACGAAATGTGAAAATGGCCAATCAAGCAACCTCCCCACGCCCCTGAACGTAGGCTCGCTTTGGCATCGGCGACGTGTACTTTTGCGCCATCTCCTGGGGGAAGTTGGAAGTCATCGAGGCACGTGTCAGAAATGAATCACCGTCCTGCTTCGGCCCAGGGGCTGCCAGATTTTGCCATCCAACGATTCCTACGTGTTGTGAATTAACCACTGACTTTCCAGGAATAAATTTGCGCTTTTTGTTGGTGTCCAGGTAGTTTGCAGAGGCTCAGCAAGATCCTGGAAACCCTCCCATAGTTGAACCCTATTATATTTTTAAGTGAACAACATCTGATGCAACTGAGTGCAGTACGGACTTTATAATTAAGACGGCCTTGAACAAAGGCCTTCAGGAAGCAGAAGAGCTGATTTAATAGGGGTGGTGTTTGATCTTAGATTCATAGGCCGCAGCAAATAGATATCTCTTTAGTGTAAAGCCAGCACACAATTTTTGCCGTAGACTATACACATATATATATATACACAAGGTTTGTTGAAGCAAAGACCAAGGCTTCTCCACGCCAATTCTGGTCACCAAGTCTAGTTCTCGGACGCACATCCAGGATCCAGATGGAGTAAAGCGCTTGGGGCCTCACGCCTTGTATTGCGCCTTGGGCAAGAAAAAAGCTGAGTGGGCACATCAGAAACATCAACAAAAACTGGAAAACTCTAATCCCTGTTCTTTTGTCACCACAGCCACTGCCCCTGTAGGAGCCCAACAGAGCCTCAGTCCTTAGTCAGGTCAACGAGCCTCACGAAGGAGGCCTGACGCATGTAGACTCTCGTGTCCTGTCAGTCCCAAACTCCACCCTTCGGAACACTGCTGACCACTGTTGTCAAATGTGTGGGGAATGGAGATTCTGTTTGGAAGTTCTGGGAAACAACAACTGCCAGTCGGACTCAACGGCAAAGATGATATTTCGACAGGATTCCCATCTATACTGTGAAATCATTTGTGAGTCATCAGAAGACGTGAGAAGGCTTCTGGTGCTAGTTTCCTTCATGTGGGCTATGTTCTGGCTATCTGAATTCTGTCTCGTCCTTTGCTCAGGTGGCAGTGGAAGAAAGTCCAACTGGCTTAGTTCCATCTTTTGTGCGTTGGGCGTTGGCCGTTTCGCCCTTTCTCCAGGTGGAGGGGTTTGACTTCGCGTTGGTAAGACTTGGCCATTCTGCGTTTTCGGGGTGCAGACCAGTACACTGGGACCTGAGAGGTTTGGCTGTAAAGATAGGGCAGCCAACAGGTGGCACAAGCAGCCAACAGGTGGCAGCCAACAGGTTTCGTTAAGCCTTTTGTGAAGTATAGGTGTTTTTTTCCGGGGGCAAGTGGACGTAATCAGGGACCATTTTAGTATAGGCCCTTGCAGGTGCTCGGCCACTGGTTTGTGGACCCAGACCTCAGAGACACACCAGCCAAAGGTGTCCACCAGCCCACCACACTATCACCACAGGATTTCAAGGGAAAGAAGCGATTTATCGGTACATCCACTACTTTTGACTACTCCTTTTATTATGTGGCTGCCGAACCCATCCACCAATTCTACATGAGACAGACCTGCAAATTGTTCAGCTCGAGCCAGGTTAGATGTGCAATGCATTTTGAAGCTTTTGGGTTTCGTGGGAGACCCCTCCAACGACAGGTGCGCCGGCGCGACGGCGCAGGCATCGTCGTTGGAGCAAGGAATGTGCCATGCACTGCCGGAAAAACAGTTCGTAGGTCTCTCAGGTTTGAAGAATGAAAGCACCAGTTCACCAGGGAATGGCCAGAAACTGAGGAATCAGGAATACCCAGAGGAAGCAGTTGGCAGCTCTTTTTGTTGCCGGTTCTTCCAGAGGTATACGCATCAGTTGCCTGTTTTTTTGGGTGGCCCAGTACAGCGGCCCAATCTCTTGGGCCACCGTGCCAAAAAGTCAAGAGTCCGGTCCGCATGGAAATTTGTTGATTCTGTGGATGTTATATGAGATTCTTTTCTATATAGAGGTCGAGACCTGCTTTGTCATCACCGGGTTCAAACATATGTTTGGACACACAATGACCACTCCATCTCCACTCCTCTACAATGACCTCAAGCTACCAAGAAATCCCTGACGACTTGAACTACAATAGTAGGTTCCTTCGTCTCTACTCACATTCTAGTGAGCGTTCAGTTCAATCAATTCATCATCACGCCATCATAGGTTCCTATGATGTGTTTTTTTGCCCACTGTTTTGTTTGTGTCCGCTTTAGCAGTGTTCTTTTCTCTGGTTTGTCGTTTGCGCCACGGTATTACCCCAGTCACCACTGAGCATCGGTTTGTAGCATTCTCCCGACCGTCTCAGGGTCATGAAGATCAAAGAGTTGGTGGGTTTCTGGGTGCCTCGGAGCTTTCAAGCTGGGGCCGAGCTGCGGGGGACCATATCATGGTGGAAGCCGCAGCCTTTCTTGAGAGATGAAAAAGGAAGGTTCGGCGGGAACATGGTGGGGGATGATAAACGGCTCATCAATCTTGATCGTGGAGAAAACAAAGAAAACACCAACCTGGCATCTCCCCTGTTGGATAGTATTGAAAACAAAGAAAACACCAACCACTGACCAATAGTGTTGTGGAAGTATTGGACTGGACTTGTGTGATTTCACCTCGCTATGGACCTGGGTTCAGTAGAGTTGACAGAACACTAGCCACTCAAGTATGAGGTTGGAGCTCCAGAACCATGAAGGACACAAAGAACCAAGTCTTTATGGTTCTGGTATGTTTTGCCTATGGTTCTGAACTACATTATATAACCATATAGGTTTTGGCCATGGTTCTGAGCTAGATGAAGTTGTTATCTCCCATCATCCACGTCGCGAATCCACCTGAACACGCCATCGACCCCAGGTCAACGACGACCCCCGGCGCTACGTGGTGGCCGAACCGGTCAGCGTCATGGCCACCAACTTCGGAGGTGCCCAACGGTGAGACCAGTGCTGGTCACCGGTGTTGGTCACCTGGGCAATAGAGGTACACATGAAGCGCACTTGACATGAAGGGTTGAGACACTGGGGACATCGGAGATGATCTACTGATAGGGTGAAAGCGGCAATGTGCCACAGAATCCAATTTGGATTGGTGAATATGTTTGAACACATTTGGGTGCTTGTCGCGGTTTTTTGGTGGATCTATATAGGTCAAAGTCCCAAGTGGTTTCAATGACCCGAGGCAGACTTCCACCGCAGATCATTGTTTGGCACAACCAGGATCGTGGATAGACACTGCGTTAATATGTTCCAAGAGTTCAAAAAAAAGACACACCTTTAAATTTGGGCCAGTCTCAAAATTCAACAGTGTTGATCAATCACCATTTCAGTAGGGGTCCCACTCGGTCACCTACATTGCCCACATGATTTTTTACAGAATTGAGCTGAGCTCGTATTGCCTCCATCGGTTCAAGAGATGTGTTGCAGCTGATGCTGGCGATGTGCTTTCCACGCTTCACGAACCTCTCTACGTTCTCTCTTGCAAGCTTGTCCGGCGACCCAGCGTGGACATGGGAATCACATGTTTAAGGTGTTGACCTTTACAGAAGATTCATTCCATGAGCTGTTTGAACTGAGATCGTTGTAACCATTTTGGATCAAGTTATGAGTGTTTGCACCCATGGCCTAGTGACCTAGTGCTTTCAATTGATCATGTCTTTCACACAGCACGTCAAAGAACGTGCAGCCAAGAATGTCCTCAAGAAGCAGCGTTGCTGAACATGGCTCGTTTGGACGTTGACCTCGATGTTGGTGTTCTCCGCTTTGACCATCCCAGTCCTGGGACTCTTAACTTCGCCCTTTCTATTTGGAATTGCCTGTCTCCTGTTTTTGGCACCAGCAGTTTGTCGTGCCAGAAGCCTGACAGAGCCCATTCTGTACCCTGCGACAACCTTGATGCCGACGCGTGCTTCGCTGCTGGGACTGGACCGGGAATCTCAACCTGCCAGGATTTTCTACACCTTCTCTTTGTCCATTCGCGTTGCCACTAGTTTTGTACCAATGGTGACCAGAGAAGATGGCTGGATTTTTAAACCCAGAAGTACTGAGACAAAATATGAGATTGTTCGTTGCTGCGAGCAGACTTATTGGGAAGCAAAGAGTGCTTGTGAGCACCTTTGGTCAGAACACAGGTCGTGCTACGAACACGGCTATCAAATCTGGGATGGCCGCTACTCTTACCGCTCTTATTATGGATACGGAGAACGGTTGGCAAATGACAATGATGTTCTCGACCGTTGCAATCAGCTGCTGGAGGATCCCGATTGCAGCAGACGGATGTGGAAAGTGCTGCCGTTCCTTGTCCTAAATGACTCTAAGAGCCATGATTGGAATTCTAGTTGCAGGCTGCAGGACAGTGGTTGGCTAGGGGTAGATTATTTGTTTGAAAACTGGAACAATTACGTTCATTACCCAGGTCATGGCTGTGTTCAGCCACCAACAGCAGATTGCATTGAATTCTCTAAAGTCATTAATTACACTTTTTATAATCCTTGGGAGCATAGCGTGATGGCTCCTGCATGCCTTTTGACGGACGATGAGATTGCAAGGTTTTGCTCTATTATGTCTCAGCTGCCGCCATACCTACTTTGCAAGCTGACAGACGGCTCATTTCGTCATAGGTTGTTTGACTATGTTCGTTGTAAACTTTGGGCAGAAGAATCGCCACTGCTGGATTCCAATTACTGCGAAACAGCGACAAGGGTCTTTCAGATTGGACAAATTCCCTCTCTTGGCATCTCAGCTTTTAGTCTGACATTGAACATTGTGAACCTCTCGCCCGTTTTGGCCGTTGTTCTGTTGATGATCTCTTGTTGTGTTTCACGCACCCGCAATGATGTGGATGTTGCTGTCCGTGTGGCTGTGGATGACGAAGTCCAAAGGCTGCAAGAAGAGCTTGAGAAAAACAAAACAGCACAACTCAGCACGTTTGCATACGTACTTCTCCGTGTAGACCTTGTCCTCGTCTCCATGGACATGTTTGGTGACATCGTTGCTGTCTTCACATGGATTTCTACCGGCCATGTTTGGTTTGGTATCTTCCAGATCCTCGTCATTCTTCGTGGTGTCCCAAGCATAGTGCTATTGCAGCGTGAGCAAGGCTTAGTGAAAGAAGTGCGAGATTCGCTCAAGGCGAATACGCTCACTGATGGTCTTTACAACCTCATGTTGCAGGAGAAGACAATAGAGGGTGTGCTAACCAGTTTGCTGCTGGCTTATGGGACCATGCACACATTTGATAGTGATTTGGCTTTCAGTTTAGTGATGGCCAAGTGGGCTCTCTCCATTCGTTCAGTGACGAACGGATGTTTCATTCAGTTTCACCTTGCACCATGTGATGTGCAGACAAGGCCCTTTCTGGATACCTTGCCATCATGGCCTTTGGGCCGAAGATATCATGTCGACACGGAATGAACTATGGGGACAGGCTGACAGCTGCAAAGTCTTCCAAAATTCTGATCACACTGAGGGCTTCTGCGTGTCTTCGGAAAAGTCTTCGAAGTTTTCGCACTGTGAGCCGTTTTTGGCAATCCAAGTTTCACAAAATACAAAGCGCTTACAGAAGGAGAACAACAACTTCCTGCTGGTAAGAGTGCCACAGGGAATAGTGGCGAACTGCAGCATGCGGCTCAGTGTTAGCTTTGTGACGTTTTTGCGTCATTTCACCATAAGAGAGTTTCGGCCAACGCACGAATCATCGTAAAACCCCTGAGCTTTTGGGCCAACCACCTATATGATTGCCACCCTGTGGTGTACCGTACCTTTGGTGGCCAGCATGGAGCACAAACGTTGAACGACGCAGTTCATTGACCTAGACAAGGTCCAGGAGCATGGAGCCCATTAAAAGAGGCCCTGGTGAGTTCTCGAAAGCGGGTTTTCTTGCCTTTGGATCGCAGAACCTCAAGTGAACCTCAATTGCCCTTTGAGATGTATGGTTCATGAATAATTGAGACCTACTACATAGCTGTTTGCCTTCTCTCTTTAAAGCATATTGCCCTGTGCTGAAAGAGCAGAATAATTTAGTGCTAGTGTGTCTTTGTTTTATGCTGTTCAGCCAGCTTTTACATGTCCAGAAGGTCGGTCGGTAAGCTCAACAATGTTGATAATTTGTTCATGGCCCTCCATGTTCACTTTCCTCTTCTCCAACCCAATTTGTTCCCCAGCTTTGGCAGGATTCTCCTTTACAATGGTTTGCTTTCCCAAGTGTCATCGAAATCTATTAGTTAATCTAGAGGTTTAAGTACGGTTTCAACGAGCGTTTCACAACTAACACTGACGAGCCAAACCTGCGTTGCTGGCGGGCCACTCGATGCCACTTGTGCACCCTGAGGTCTTCCAGTTCGTGCCGTCTCCGCGTCTCCGGAGGCCCGTGAGGAGTCCGAAGGATCGGACAGGAGTTCTTCCGTCCGTCACCCGGTTCCGACTCGCACCACACCGAACGGTGATATATGGAGGTTCTTCGCCTGAAATCGCCTGAAGCAAGAAAGCGTTGCCTCCGTGAACAATCCCACCAGATGGGGGAATTGAAGGCTATGTACTTTATAGTCGTTCTGCCATTGAGAAGAGTGTGTTGAGAGGGTGCCAAGTTTGGAGAAATTAACATTGAGACAGACAGGAGCAGCGGTTTGAAAGTCATTCCATCAGACGGGAGCGAACGGAGAATATGTCCCTTCGCTGTGCGCCAAGAGTCTCCGAATGTGTTTGTTTGTTCAATGTTTTGTTTAATCGTGTTGGGTGAGTTGTTTGGTGTTTATATCAATAGCTTTTGCTGCTTTTGTTGTGTGCTCTTGATTTGAGGGAGGGGGTGGCATTGTTTCGGCTGCATTCAGATGATGATCAGATGGTCAGATAGTGATTTGCAAGCTGCTGATTAGCTGATTGCACCCAAAGTGCATGTTTCTACAATGTATACAACTCCGCCCCCATGGCGCTCCCCTTTGTCCCAATCAGTAAGCTTCTTTGCACACATGTTTTTGCAGGAGTTGCTTGGCAGCTTAGCTCGTATTGCGTCCAAACTGTTTGCCTGTTCGAGTTGGGCTGTGGCGGACTCTGAAGATGTGCTCCCCGCACCTGACAAACCCAAAAACCGTTCTCTCGCGCCAACGTTCTCTCAGGCGCCGCAGAGTGGCCTGTCCGAAGCTCTACCGGGCCGCACGCGCTTCCGGCCGCTCTACCGGGTGAACCACGACGAACGCCGCGTGTGCTACGTGGCTGAAGCGGTGAGCGTCATGACTAAAGGAGGCTCCCAGGTGATGCGCGGCCATAGTTGCCACGCACATGATGTTGTTTCTCAACTTTGGACTTGTGTTTCTTTACATTCGAGTGGTTGTCAAGGATTTAAAACTTGACAAAGTCGTCAAAGTGCCCAGTGGTTAATAGTATCCAAAACGGCTGGCTGGCGCACTGCTATCTTATTGCCAGGATAGTTTTTGGCACAACCAGGATCATCATGGACCGTCAATTGGTACTACGTCAATGTACTGTAAGGAAAGTCTAAAGTATTGCTGCTGGTGCCTTTATATGTTCAGAGTCGCCTACAATCCATTAGGTTTTCCCACCAGGGTCTAAGTCCACATTCGAACCAGTGAGAAACCCCATTGTCCCGGACTCTTCCAAGTGCTTTTTGAAAGTAAAAGTTCAAAACCTACATTGCGCACTTCATTCATGAACCTCAACGTTCTCTCTTGCCAGGGTGTCGGGCATCCCAAATTGGACATGCTGCCAGGAGCTGCTTTAAACTGAGATGTTTGCAATCATTTTGGATCAAGTCACGAGTGTTTGCACTGATAGCCTAGTGCTGTCGATTGGATATGTCTTTTACAAAGCACATCGAAGAACGTGCAGCCAAGAATGTCATCAAGCAGCAGTGTTTCCGCATATGGCTCGTTTGGACGTCAACTTTGATGTTGGTGTTCTCCGGCTTGACGATCCCACTTCTTGGGCTTTTGACTTCGCCGTTTGTATTTGGATTTGCCTGTCTCTTGCTGTTGGCACCAGCAGCCTGCCGTGCAAAAAGCCTGACAGAGCCAATTCTATACCCTGCGACGGTGTTGATGCCGACTCACGCTTCACTTCTGGGACTGGGCCCGGAATCCAAACCTGCCAGGTTCTTCTATACGGTTTCTTTACCGTTGCGATTCTTGGCTGGTGCAAGTCTTATGGCCTTCCCTTACTGGAACAGTTTTGTAGAGGATGTAGAGGGCCCTGTCAGTGGTGGGATAAGAGCCATTCAACAACAACTGAGTGGTGAGACAAAGGATGAGACATTTCGCTGCTGCCGGCAGACTTATTTGGATGCGAAGACTGCTTGTGAGCACGTTTTGTCTGCACACAGATCCTGTTATGAAGGCGGCTATTGGATACTCAATGACTACTATGTTACTCATGACGTTTATCTTTATGGATACGGTGAAGCCAACAACACGTATACTCCTGATGACTACAGGAATATCAACCGCTGCAATCAGCTGTTTGAGGATCCCACTTGCACCAAGCAGTTGTCGCAAATACTACGACATCTTGTCCATAATGATTCTGACTTCGATTGGATTGGACATTGCAATTTCGAGTCATTAAAATTCCCATATTACATAATGCTTGAACACTGGGTACGCTTGCTGGAACCAGGACATGGTTGTTATCAGCCAAAGCCCATGGTGGATTGCCTTAAAGACTTTAGGCAAAACCATTACGAGATGAGGTGGACAATGGCTCCCGCATGCCAGGTTGTCACGGATGACGCGATGACAAGGTTTTGCTCGATTATGTCTCAGCTGCCGCCATACCTGCTTTGCGAGCTAGCAGACTCCAAGCTGGCAGACTTTGAGCCGGTAGGCTGGTCCTGGCATTGGGCAGGTAGATTGAGTGATTTTTATGGTTGCTTGCAGTCATCACAGCTGTTACGTGCCAGTCAGTGCCTGAACGTACCAAAGTTTCGAGAATCGTCCAAATTCTTAGGAGATGTCGGGGCCATTGTTTTCGAAATCGTCGGGTACACAGTGTCCCTTTCGCCCGCTTTGGCCGTTGTTCTTTTGATGATCTCTTGTTGTGTTTCACGCACCCGCAATGATGTGGATGTTGCTGTCCGTGTGGCTGTGGATGACGAAGTCCAAAGGTTGCAAGAAGAGCTTGAGAAAAACAAAACAGCGCAACTCAGCACGTTTGCATACGTACTTCTCCGTGTAGACCTTGTCCTCGTCTCCATGGACATGTTTGGTGACATCCTGGCTGTCTTCACATGGATTTCTACCGGCCATGTTTGGTTTGGTATCTTCCAGATCCTCGTCATTCTTCGTAGTGTCCCAGGCATAGTGCTATTGCAGCGTGAGCAAGGCTTAGTGAAAGAAGTGCGAGATTCGCTCAAGGCGAATACGCTCACTGATGGTCTTTACAACCTCATGTTGCAGGAGAAGACAATAGAGGGTGTGCTAACCAGTTTGCTGCTGGCTTATGGGCTCATGCACACATTTGACAGTCAGTTGGCTTTCTATGTAACAACGGCCAAGTGGGCCCTCTCCTTGCGTTCAGTGACGAACGGATGTTTCATTCAGTTTCACCTTGCACCAGGTGATGCGCAGACAAGGCCCTTTCTTGCCACCTTGCCAGCATGGCCTTTAGGCCGAAGATATCATCTCGACACAGAATGAACCATCGGGACCAGCTCAGCATGTGAAGCCTTTCATTGAAGCGTTTCAAGTTGCATGAAATGCAACGTGCACAGCGGGAGAACCAATCAACAACTTCCTGAGAGTGCCACTGCAGTGAAAAAGGGAGCACGGCACCGGTCTTAGTGTCACTGTCAGCCTTCATGTGTTATTTTGCATCGGGGACCTGCCAGAAAGACTGCGTTTCGGTATGTTTCGGTCACTTGCTTGATTTGATCGCTTGCCCATTAATTCTATGTCAATATTCGGTTCTCCAAAGAGCAACAGAGAAAATCAGGCCAGTGATCTCGCGGCTTCTGAGGTCGAAGATGGCTTGCTTTCTTCATCAAGGCAGGACCTTTGAGCAAAACCGAGGTTGAAAGATGCGTGTCTCTATGTATATTATATAGCTTCGAGTTTGGCACCTAGGCTAAGCTCATCTTAGCCCCATGAAATTGAAACTCTATGATATAATGCTGATAAATAAGCTATATGGCTATATGTTCAAAACCTGATCATTCTTCGTGGCGTCCCAGGCCTACTGCGCTTGCAGCGTGAGAAAGGCTTGGTGAAAGAAGTGCGAGAATCGCTGAAAGCAAAGACGCTAACAGACGGGCTTTATGACCTTATGCTGCAAGAGAAGACAGTAGAGGGTGTGTACACCAGCTTGTTGCTGGCATATGGGATCATGCACACCTTTGATAGTAGGTTGGCTTTCTATCTAACAATGGCCAAGTGGGCCCTCTTCATTCGTTCAGTGAGGAACGGATATAACGGATGCTTCATTCAGTTTCACCTTGCACCAGGTGATGTGGAGACAAGCGTTCCTTGCAGCATGGCCGTTGGGCCGAAGATATCATCTCGACACAGAATGAGCCATCGAGACAAGCTCAGCTGCAAAGCATCGCGTTGAACCGAAATGCAACGTGCACAGCGGGAGAACCGATCAACGACTTCCTGAGAGTGCTACAGTGAAAAAGGAGCACAGCACCCGTCTTAGTGCCACTGCTAGCCTGTATGTGTGTTTTTGCATCGGCGACTTGCTAGAACGATAGAGTTGCAGCCACTTGCTTGATATTTTAATGATTGATTTCAAAGCTCCATGCCCATAAGTTCGCCATAAGTGACTCTCTAAAGAGCAATGGATAATCAGGCCAATTGATCCCGCGGCTTCTGAGGTCGAAGATGGCTTGCTTTTCTTCATCAAGGCAGGACCGTTGAACCAAGGTTGGAAGATGTGCGTCTGTAGTTTAGAATCTCCGAGCTTGGCACCTAGACTTCGTCCCATGAGATCGGCACTAGTATTGACACTCTACGATTGATATAGTGGCGACGAATGAGCTATGTTCAAAGTCTTCCTTTGGATACTGCGGCTCCATGCTAGGTCATCAGGCCACGTGAGTGTTTGTTTCGACCCTTTGTGAGTGTGAGCTAGCACTTGCATACGCAACGTGTATGTCCGCACAGCATCATCCAGAGCTAAGACAATGTGTAATTACTGGTAGAACCAAAGCTCAACTGGTATGTTCTATTCCTTTTCCTTGGTCATTTGGGTTGACGGTTGACTGAGGAACAAGCACATTCATTTAACTGTATATCAGAGACACCTATTTTGCCGTACTCAGCTTAGAAAAGACTGCAGAAAGGATATGCAAGAATGTATTTGACTCACTTACTCGGGGCATCTATATACAAGCTTCTATGTTTGATTTTTTGAGAGGACAACAGGATAACCCTTCCTCTTCTCCGGACCATCCATCCTTCTCAGGTTATGTGCAGAGCACCAACCGGAGCAGAGCGCTTCCAGCCTGTTGCCCACTTCCTGGCCTTGTGACAACGTGAAGATCCCAGCTGAGTCAACCAGAGCAGTAAAGCCATGAGCCATGAGCCCACGGTGATGGGTCAGGCTTTTATCCGATCAGATGGGTCCGTTGAAACTAGTTTTGTTGACAAGAGCGTGCTGGAAGAAAGGCAAGTTCGCTGTGTGATCCACACTTCTCCAATTAGTAATTCTTGAAGGGGCAACGCTGCTACCTTGCAAAGATCAGCTTCCACAAAGACCCATCCAGCGGAGCATCCGAAGCGGCCTCCTTTCGAAGGAAATTCTGAAGGTGTTCCCCCCGAACAGGCCGAAACTGCTGTTTCAGCATCAGGCTGAGTAGCGCGTTAGACTCCGATACAGCGGCTGACTGGTGTGGCCGGTGTCGCTCCTATGTCGGGCAAGGAATCGAATGGATCCAGACGAGACTTGTGGAGAGTGGAGAAAGACGTAAAACAAAAAGCATTACGTTGTTTTGCTCTTTGATATTTCACTGTTCTATAGTTCACTTCAGCTTGAGGGTTTGCAGTTGCATGAAACTACCATTTGCAGCCGGCTGTGCATCGAAAACAGGGGCGATAGACCGAGCCGTTGGGAGCTGCGGCTGCCAGGCTTTACAGAGTTTGTTATATATGCAGATCGTCCGCTGGTGGACATCCAAAGTGCTCGTTTTGGAAGACAGGACATGGCTTTGGTATGACCGTGTGACCAATCAATTTACAAGTTAGAATCTGTAATCTGAGGGCCAGGAAGAACGAATATATGAATTACATATAGACATTTTATTCAGTGTTTATCAACATTTTATCACATATACACTTTAAAACAATGATATATAAACATATATCATATATTAATAAACATAGAAACATTTTGCTGGTGCCTGCGGTCAGAGTTGCCTTTTCCAGGCACCAGCTTTTCTCCCGGTGCCATCTCCTGGCAGCGTGGCCTCAGAAACAGACGCCGTCACGGCTGCGTTTGGCTGTGCAGCCGGAGATTCCGTCGGAGATGGATGGCAATGGCTTTTAGAGAGCCCTGCTTTGCCTTCACATATCAACAAATCCAATACCTAGACCCTCCAACCGATGTTTCTTGGTGACAATAGTGGTTCTAGTCATCCATTTGTTGCATCTTGTCTAAAGCGAGGTGCATTCTTGGCGGGTCTTGCATCTTGTCTAAAGCGAGGTGCATTCTTGGCGGGTCCCAGCTTCCAATACTGTCCAAGGGCAAATTGCACGCTGTTTCCAATTGTAGCGGTGGCCTCCCAAGATTTGCCTTGACGATGTTCGAAACAAGATTGTCAATGTAGGAGTTTTGCAATGATATTTTGCAATGATATGATATTGACAGTTTTTTGTATTTATCATTGCCTTTTTCTAGATCGCTTTTCGAGACGTCTCGATCGCCTGGAAACACAACTGGAGAAGTTGAGAGGTGGAAGGGGTTGCTCAATGTGACGTGGTACATCGCCCCAAAACGTCGCCGGACACGTCATTCCCTTGCTTTTATACCAATCCTGAAACTTCCTGGTGGAATGGGTGTAGGTTGATAGTCCATTGGTGACGACTTGGAAGGCTTTCGTGGTTGTTTCATCCGCAGCTCCAGACATGGAAACTGCATTGTTTGAACAGTTTTTCCTGGTGGTTTTCGTTGAGCAGTCCAGTTTGCAGAGATTCTGTTCGATCATCTACCGGTAGCGTCGTTTGCCGCGTCCACGTCTGACCAGTGATTCTGAATCGATCCGCCGGAATGAGGGCGGAACAGGGCTTCCACTTCATGATGTACCCGAAGGAGTCACGTTTGTCATGGCGAGTGAGGGAAACACTAGCCCCAAGCGGGGAAGCGCTAGTTTTGTGATAGGGTCAAGGTGGTGTCTGATGGGATGGAAGAAACACATTAAGAGATCTTAACTTCTAGCACTACCTACCACCATGCATTTGTGGTAGGGTAACCACTTTTGGGGATTCACTGTGCTAAAGAGAGCAATATAGCAAGATTCTCGTGAACATGTTAAGAGCAGATCGAGGACACAGCACCATCATCACTCTGCAGAGGTATAATTGCTTCAACTCGTGCCTTCAATTTATTGATTTTCCTGACACGGAACAAATGTAAAGTGATCAGCGATGGTTGGTGTCCGCTTTCGGACATGAGCAAGTAAGACAAGAACTGTCCATGGATTGAGTACCAGCCAGTTGATTGAAGTGCAAAGCTTGTGATGCGTGAAGACTCCAGCAGAACGTGAGAGGTTCTTCTTGAACAGGTCATGGCTGATCTCCTTCAAGACACATTTCGAGACTTAATTATTGCCTATAATACTTAGAAGTGGTAGAGGCCCGAAGATATCTATCCAAATGTATGAACTTTCTGGTTATTCTTCGGGTCGGGTACCCGCCTTGTCGGACATCCAGTCTTCTCACCCTCACAGGACTCCGGGAAACCTCATGGTCGCCAACGCGAAGCATTTGAATGGCCGGCTCGGACACACCTTAAGTATGTTGGATGAAGCCACGCCACAATGTCTCCCTTCGGAGGTGTTGGAAACTAGTTGATTCGTTCCAACATTTGCTCCTGCCGTGCTCGCTACCAACTGCCGCCCCCCCCCACGCCCACGCGTACGCCTCCGCGCCCGCGTCCTCACGCGGTTGGCCGCAGCACGTCGTCACCGCAAGGACTTCATCGATAAGGTTCTGCCCACCGGCATGCTGTCGGGGGTCCCTGGGAGTGCCAACTGTGGCCAAGCTGGATAGTCTCATAGTCTGACCAGGTGCCAGCTGGAACATCGCCATCCCCTACTTACCAGAGAGAGGTGAAAGAATTGGAGCAAATGAGGTTTGGGGCGAGGTAAAGAACATTTCCAAGTCAAAGAGAATCTCACTCAGACTCTAAACCAAACTCATTTCATGCAGGTGTTGTTCACTGTCACTTCTATAGTCTATAACTATTCTATAATTATATTTGCTGGAAGAGGTCTGAATATGTTGTCCTATTTCGTACGTCCAGGATTGTGGTAACACCACTTGAACACCACCCGCACGGTGCTGCACCCCAGGCATCCCAGGAGCCCTGTGTTCTTTGCCCCAAAAAGCACCACACCGAGGCCACGGCACAAGGCGGATGAGAGTGACCCCGGGACCTATCGTCCGGCCTATGTCCGGACTCCGAGTACGGTCGAGTACGGCCGTTTCCAGCACAGCGGGTTCCCGGGGTGGCTGAAGTGGAAGGGCATGGGCATGGGGTAAGTAACCTACATCTACCAGGGAGGAGGATGGAAGGATAGGTGAGCACTCTTAATGTTGAGTCTATGGAGATGGTAGGGCTATGTAGGTCAATAAGCCTTAACCGTTCAATTATGCCGCCCAAAAA